AATGCTTGCGGCAGTGGCTATAACTTTGATGTATTTATGCATCGCGGCGCAGGCGCTTACATATGCGGCGAGGAGACAGCACTGATTGAATCGCTTGAGGGTAAGCAGGGCAAGCCACGATTGAAGCCGCCATTCCCCGCCGATGTGGGTCTCTTTGGCTGCCCCACCACGGTGACCAATGTCGAGACTGTGGCAGTGGCACCCACCATTTGTCGTCGCGGTGGCAATTGGTTTGCTAGCTTTGGACGTACCCGTAATTCAGGAACTAAGCTCTTCAATATCTCTGGTCATGTGAACCGGCCCTGCACCGTCGAGGAGGAGATGTCTATACCACTTAAAGAGCTAATTGAACGGCACTGCGGCGGTGTCATTGGTGGTTGGGATAACCTACTGGGCGTTATACCTGGGGGCTCATCGACGCCCATCATACCACGTAAGGTTTGTGATGATGTGATCATGGATTTCGATGGCTTGATTGCGGCGCAGACATCACTGGGCACAGCGGCCATCATTGTGATGGACAAGTCGACGGATGTAATTAAGGCGATTGCGCGCTTGATTTCCTTTTATAAGCACGAGAGTTGTGGCCAGTGCACTCCCTGTCGTGAGGGCATTGGCTGGATGAACAAGATTATGACGCGGTAAGACCTTAATATTGACAATCAACCAAGTATATATTATATTTGGCATTTTCTTTTTAGCTTTGTCAAAGGCGATGCCCAGCCCTCTGAGATAGACATGCTGTGGGAGATATCCAAACAGATTGAGGGACACACAATTTGTGCATTGGGCGATGGCGCTGCTTGGCCTGTGCAAGGACTCATTCGGCACTTTAGGCCGGAAATTGAGAAGCGAATGCAACAGCATGCGCAGCAGTCAAAGCGCGCCACGAATTAAATTATGTTATAGCTAATTAAATCTACTTCATTTAATTTGCAAATAAACTGTAATGTTCTCTTTATCCAATAATTCATAATACTTTCAAGTCTCTGCTCTAACTTGGAGGAACAGATTCAGCTTGGTCAATTTATATATCTTTAATGTGTCAATTACAGAACTAGGTATCAGTTTTAGGAACATTATCATTTTTAGAAACCTGTTGACACATTTAAATAAAAGCTGCTTTATTTTGCAACTTACAAAGGTTAGCTAAGTATTTCCTTCAAGTATGTCCTCCAATTCTAAGTACGCGGCGTACGTTATTTCCTTCAAGTACAATATTTCTTCTAGGTATTTCCTTCAAGTATTTCCTCTTCACTACACTTTACTGCATTACACGACTGACCTCTACCAGGCCTGGGCGACTAAAGAAATGCTGCAGCTGCTGCCCACTCGAACACCAGGGTGCGGGAGGTGTCGTTGCAGTCAAGCTTTAAATAAATAATCTTCTGTAGTTCTTCATCCCTTGCTTTTCTTAGGAGACAGACTGTAGGACAGATATACAGACATGTAGGGGAAAAAACACTCATAGTGAAGTAGTATTAGCTCAATACATATGTTTAATAGCTTATGTACCTTAATATTTACAATTATTAAATGACAGACAGCAGTTTCTTCTGATCCATAGTTCTCTTAGTTTTTGGTTGGTTTAAATTTCTAAGCATGATAACTACCGAGCCAACCTTCAGTGGTAAATTGTGCGGTGGTAAACCAGGCACATCCAAGGAGTTCATGTGTTCCAGCTGGTCTTTTATCTGCTCTGATTACTACTTTATTGTCATCTCTTGGCATGCGCTCTAAAGCAGTCTTGAAGCATTTGCTGCAAATCTTGGAGAATTGCTCTTTTCATAGCTGTGTTGATTTCTTGACGCCGGTCAAGTTGTTCTTCTATATTGCCCATGAAGAATATTTGCAAGAATTTGTGCTGTGCATCTTCAATAGGTTGCAATGATCCAATGCGATGGCAAATCTAGCCTTGAATCTTTAAATTCAAAGCCATAGTTATAGTTAGATTTACAAATACTTTTTGCGGAAATCTGACAAACTACATTATTCCAAATTATTTTATTTTATTTTTTTTATTTTTTTATTTATTTATTTTTTTTTTACAATCATAGAAAATAAAATTTTTAACGTAAATTACCTTAAATGTCGGATTATATCCGTCTCCAATAATTTCCGCCCCAATTGAAGTCATTTGGAAACAGGCATTGTATCTTTGAGTGATTCTAGTGTTTCGCCATAAATCAGGGAACGCAATGGCTCTGGTGGCGGGACCACTAATGGCAATGTCACTTTACCAAAAAAGCTGCGTTTTTCAAGTATTCGTCAAATTTGTTCAGTATTTTTAAGATCTACTATCCTACTCGTAGCGGAGACAAATCCAACAAATCAAAAACCATGAAAATTGGTCCAGCAGATATCGAGTTATAAGTGGAGGAGCATATTTACACAACTCTCTTTTATATATAAAATATATATAAGATATAAGATAAGATTTGTGTAGAAAACAAAAATTTAAATTATTACATAATAAATGATCAAGTGCTCTCATGATTACCAAAGGCATCGATGACTAATGCATCATGTTGGAACGGACTGATGATTTCCTTATTGATTAATGTGGCATATAATATGAATAGACCAAAGACGGACATCGACAAAATCCCTACCGAACGTCGCGCATTAAAGTTCAGCAAGGTAGTCCACATAAGCGTCATAAATAAACCCATTGTGAACAGTATATACAATATTCCACCATAATCTCCAGACATTGAACGGAATGAAATATTTTGGCCCAAAGCTTTCTTCAAAGTTATCACACCGCTACAGTGCAACAAAATTATAAATAACGGGCTGCCAAGTGTCGCTGCGTACGCCATTTTCTCATATCCATGCAGGGCCATTACTATAATTGTTGCTAGATTACCTAGGCTATTGGCTATAGCTATTACAGTTACACTCATAAACTGAGATGAAATTCCATAGATATGTCCAACCATTTCAAATATTACACACAGTTCGGTGCCGCACTGAAATATTATAAATACGGAACCAGTCAAGTTTAAGATCGAGAATATCCAATGATATTTAGGTGGAGCTCTCGTATCTGAGTGAAAAAATACAAATATGGCGAATGGGACAGTCAGTACCATAGAATATACGCCATATATGCAATCCCCAGGTACGGCGCTATACCAGAATTGGCCCCTATTTCTGAAAATTAAGGATTTCCCCAATACGATTGTTATAGCTGGATTGAGAAATAGTTGAATGCAATTGAGTAGCTTGGACCAACCATTCTTTGGTTCCTCGTAGTTCACTAGCGGTATATAAATGGCACATACGACTACAATTGGAGCACGTACTAAATAGAAGGCCCGAAGACTCATACTGGCATGGCTCCAATCTTCTGCATTGATCGGCTTGATAGCTGACAAGAACTCTCTGAAAAGATGCTGATTCATACGCGAGTAACGAGAAGCACGATATTTTTGAATTTCGACCCGTTCATGTTCATTGGGAAGTTGCGTCATAAACGTGAAATTTTGTTGCCTCGTACGAGTTGTACGTCGCTTTAAAATTTTTACGCGTTCTTCCTTAGCCAGTTCATTAATTTCATTGATCAAGTACCTTTTTCTCTCAATACGCTCAGGTGAATCGGCCATTTCGTTCAATTCAAGTAACTCACGTCTAAGCACTGAATTAATGGTTGGAAAGGTAAGAACCACAGCTCATTATAAAACCAAAATATGTTCCGTTTACTTACCTTTCAGAGTATACTTGATTAGGAAAAAGTCAATCACATTGATGACCAAGTAGACGACATACACCAATATCATTCCCAAACCCTCAAAATAGCTTAATTCACCGCTAGTATACAACTGTAACTCAAACAGCGCTAATCCAAAAATTAAAAACAGCAGATCTCGCACCGTATTGAAAGAATGCATTTGAAATGGTGTTAGATAACAGACCAATCCTCCTGTAAACATCACTTCGAACATAGAGCTTGCAACGTAATTGGCGAAAACGCAATCCCGATTATTAACTATCGTTATCTGAAGTAACAGATCCGGTATAGTTTGGCATAATGCCATTATCGTGACTCCCGCTAAATGGTCGTTCAAATGAAGCATTCGAGAGATAACCTTCAATGCTGGAGAATAATAAATATGCGCCACAAGTCCCATGCAGAGCAGTAGTACAAATGATAGAATCATAAAAAGGCTGACAAAGACATGTTCTTCGAAGCGATTCACACATCTAAAGTTACACGCCATTAAATGCATATATGGGAGGAAGTTCGAGCCAACTACGCAACTATTGGCCTTTCTCACAAATTCGCATCTCTCATCGTATGGAAATCTAATCACGGTATAACAATTTACTTTTGACCAAAAATGGGCGAATTCTTTGTCCATATCATTTTCCTCATATACTGTGGCCATGATCCTATAATATATTTGTATTTATTATCTAAGTACATCTGTATAATCGAAATAGGACTGCTTTTTTGTTTTGTTTTTTTTTTGTGTGCCGTTTTGTTTGAAACTAATTTGTGAACTAAATATATTTGGATTGGAAAATCATGCCTTCAAATTTTAAAAAATAAAATGAGCATCCGATTACGAAGTTCTTGCAACTTTGGTGGATTACAGTTTATAGAAGAACATCAACGTGCAAATCGAAGGTAATAAAGAGTTTTACCTTTTCTTGAATACAAAATACAATTCTAGGTTTAGGTTACAAGAAATGAATCGTAACGGCAATAATGCGCATTATGCTCTTCGGGATGAGCAGCTTTAGGCGCATGCTTGCCTGTAGAGGAACTACCATTAGTAGAGTTACCGCAAGTCCCAATATTAAAGTAAATTACAGATCTTTTATAATGTGATCATTTATTTATATATTTTATCATTTAATATTCTTATTGCATACAAAAATATCGATAAATTAGATGTACACAAATTTGAAATTTCAAACTGCAGTGATGCCACCTATAAATCTCCAATCCTGTTAACGTCACATTGTTTATTTTTTTTTTATAGTCCGTCAGTTGTTACTTTTCCCTCCTATATTAAAGTGTGCTTGGAATTCGAATGTAAATTTAAATATATTTGTGTTAAAAACAAAATTTGGATTACAATATAATACATTTTTATTATACCTCATATTTATAAATTTCATCGTTTACAGCCTGATGTTCGTATGGACTAATAATGCCCAGGTTAATTAAAATTGCAAATATTATGTACAGACCATACATAGACATGGAGAAAACCCCCACCGACCGTCGCGCACGAAAATTCAACAAGCATATCCATAGAAGCGTCATCGTTAAGCTAAATGTGAACAATACAAACAATATTCCACCATAATTGCCAACCATGGCGTGCCATGTAATGCGTTGGCCCAATACTATCTTCACCCCCATCACGCTGCCGCAGTGGAGCAGAATGACAAGCAACGGACCCCCAATTGTCGCAGCGTACGCCATTTTCTCATATCCATGCAGGGCCATAGTTAGAATCGTGGCTAGATCGCCAAGGCAATTAGTTGCGGTTATTACCGTGGAGCTCATAAATTGGTCTGAAATACCGTAAAGATAGCCAATCATTTCGAACATTACACTTATTTCGGTGGTGCACTGAAATATTATAAAAACGGATCCCGTCAAGTTTAAGATCGAGAATATCCAATGGTATTTAGGCGGAGATCTCGTATCCGATTGGCAGAATATAAATATGGACAATGGGACAGTCAATACCAGAGAATATAAACCGTATACCGTATTCTGTGGTATGCTGGCATACCACATTTGTTCCTTACTTCTAAAAATCAAGGATTTTCCCAATATGATTGTTACAGCTGGACTAAACCATATTTGAATGCAATTGAGTAGCTTTGACCAACCATTCTTTGGTTCCTCGTAGTCCACTAACGGTATATACATGGTACAAAAAATCACCACTGGAGCACGTGCTACAAGAACGATTCGTTCAATAATGCCGGCATCGCGCCAAACTGCTAATTTAATGGGCTTGAATGCTAAGATGAACTCTGTAAAGAGACCCCGATTCATATCGACATAGCGTGAATCGCGTTTCTGTTCAATTTCGACCCGTTCATGTTCATTGGGAACTTGCGTCATGAAAGTGAAATTCTGTTGCCTCGGGTTGGTTGTACGTCGTTTTAAAATTTGTACGCGTTCTTCCCTAGACAGTTTATTTATTTCACCTGTCAAGGACTTGATTTTCGCCAGACGCTCAGGTGAACTGGGCATTTCATTTAATTCGAGTAATTCACGCCTTAGCACTGAATCAATGGTTGGAAAGGTAAGAACGTAATCATAGATCATTACTGAATCAATCTTGTTCATCGATGGTTTTTGTTTACTTACATTTCAGAGTATACTTGATCATTATCAAGTCGATCACATTGACAATCAAGTAGGCGGCATACACCAATATCAGTCCTATAATCTCAACATGGCCTATTGTGCGGTCAGTATACAAGCACAACTCCAATAACATTGAGCCAAATATTAAGAATAGCAGATCTCGCACCGTATTAAAGGCATGCATTTCAAATGTTGTTACATAGCAGACCAATCCACCTATAAACATTACCACAAACAATGATGTTCCAACGTCATTGGCGAATACGCAGTCCCGATCATTAACTATAGTTATTTGATATAGCAAATCTGGTATCGTATTGCATAATGCCATTATCGTGACTCCCGCTAAATGGTCGTTCAAATGAAGCACTCGAGAGATAACCTTCAATGCCGGAGAATAGTAAATATCCGCCACGTGTTCGGCACAGAGCAGCAGCACAAAGCATAGAATCATAAAGAGACCAACAAAGACATGTTCTTCAAAACGATTCCGGCATTTGAAGCTGCACGCCAATAGTTGTATATATGGCACGAAGTTCGTGCCATATATGCAACTATTGGCCTTTCTCACAAAGTCGCATCTCTGATCGTACGGAAATCTAATTACCGAATAACAATTTACTTTCGACCAAAAATTTTCAAATTCTTTGTCCAAATCATTCTCCTGATATACTGTGGTCATGATTCTGAAATGTGTATATATTTCCAATGTAAGTTAAACAATTTTTTTTTTTTTGTTGTTGTTTCAATTGAAATCTTTTGAAAACTGAATGTATTTCGATTGAAAAATCATACAGGTTTTGAAAAATGAAATGATCATCTGATTATAAATTAAAGTTGCATAGTGGCACAACAGACTGTTAAATACTCGCTCGACATTAATGGACTCTGGCTTACAACCTAAAAATGAATATGGGCCATATCATTTATACGAAAACGGCGCAATAATCGCTAGATATCATATGGGAGATATCCGAAGAGATTGAGGTACAAACGAACCCTTCGTCGAGATTAATACAAAAGATAATTTGCAGATGGACTTCCAATATCAAACTACCAGAATGCATTAATAACATCAAAATTTGCTATGATAATTGACTTGATGTCTTCTTTATCTTGGTCCATCATTAATGGCAACAAATGCAACGAATACTCACCCGACTCGCTGTTATTCTTCAACGATTAAAGGATTAAATTCGTGTTGGTAAAGAAAACATGTAGCTAGTAGTAGAATATTTATAGAATTTATAGATCCTCATTTTTTTTTCATTTAATTACAGTTTCGAGCACAAAATTATAATTATAAAAATACCGAGTATCTTGAAAATAAGTATTTCGAAAACAATTATATCAGAACAGATTTTTCTACGGATGAATATGTCAATGTTAAGTTTCACAATGTTAACGCAGCTAACAGCGCCAGTCAGTTAACAGGCAATTGCTAATTAGACAAAAGTCTTTTTACCCAGAGAATTTGTGATAAGTGCGCTCATTTGCTGTCTACATACAATGTATATTGATTAATGTGAGAATCTATAGAGCAAATTAAGAGGAGAAACTTAAGATTTACATAAATATGAGTAACAACTATGAAGTACATATATATTAAAAGAAACTCTTCTACGTATGGTGTACATAAATATAAGTTAGTATAACTTTAAATATCGGTAATCATTTAGCTTTTGTAAATTTAAATATCTTCTATTGCGTATGATTTACAGATCTTTCAGTTGAATGAACTTCAAAAATGTTAGAAAAAGTGTAGAAAGAATGTTTTACATATTTATATACAATATATATATATATATATATATATATATATATATATATATATATATATATATATATATATATATATATATATATATATATCTATGAATATATATATATTTTTTTTTAATTTTTGCTGTTTCTTATAGACGTAGATTTGTTAAATATTTGATTTGATTTTGTTTTGGTTTTTGGTTTTAGATCATGTTCAGTTTGATTTGTTTGTTTAACTTGGCTTAAAGCGTTTCTTATTGCTTATCTATGAAAAGGAACATAGTACAATATTATTATGTTTGTATGTAATTTCATTTAAAGTTTCAGCTTATTGACTAAACAACATTATAAACGAGAGACTAAACGAGTTTTGTTACGATTAATTTGTATTACGATTCGTGTTAATAAACGTTAATAACTATTAACGTGTGTAATTGTAGTTTCATGAATTGAGATGCAATTGAGAAGATAATGATAAATGCGTGTCGGTGTGTGTGTGTATGAGTATGCTGTGTGAACTTACATACGTATTCGTATCTATGTATATTAAATATGCCATCTCGCATTTTGCCAACTAATTGCGAAGAGAAGAACACTTCAAGACAGAACGGAAATGAAAGAAAATGCTATATATGTATGTAGGTATGTATGTATATATTTAAATTTAGTTTAGTATCACACACTAGTAGAGATAATGCGAAGAGGCCTGAGCTCTATACTGCTTCGGTGTTAGCTTTATTAACTTAGGATTGAATGCCCCCAATGCCGCTTCGTTTGTCGATGATGCCGCCGCCGGTACGGTGTGCGATCGAAAACGCGAACGTAGAAAATTTTGCATGGAGCGTAGGCGAATAATGGGCGCACAGGGCGATTGTCGTAGCGTGTTATGGTTGAGCGCCCAATAAATGATGGGACTAATGGCCGAATAAAAGTAGCCTGTTTTGAAATGTATAAAGATAAAGAACATTATTTTTTTATCAAGATCTGAAAGTTTTTTTTTTTTTTTTTTTTTTTAGAAAAGTCATCGATAGTAAAAGTTGAGCAACAAAGAAGCTAGTAGAGCGTTATTCACCTAAATTATACAAATAAAGAGTATTACGTTATTAAAGAAATATCTTAATATTTATTTGTCCAATTGTACTATACTAGTAAATTTTTGTTTCTAGGTCTCATAAGCATCTTGAACAAGAATATCGTGACTGTACGGGTGGATAATACCTTTCCGGATGAGCACCGCAAACAAAAGGAATATGCCAAAGACAGACATGGAAAATATGCCTACAGAGCGTCTGGCATTGAAGTCTAACATCACCGTCCATAGCATAGTAAGGAAGAGTCCGATTATAAAAATAACATAGGCGTTGTCAGCATAATTGCCCATAGCGTCATTCGAATGCGCAGTGTTACCCCTGAGTATGACTGCCAGCAACGTTGTGGTGCAACCGACGACAACAGTAAGGAAGCTGCTGCCAATGGTGGCTGCGTAGGCCATCTTCTCGTATCCCTGCATGCTCAGCGACACGCTGATAGCAAGATCACTCAGGCAGGTGGCCACGACCAGCAGAGTGACACCCATGAAATCGAACGGAATTTCATAGATGCTACCGATCACCTTCGTGAAGAGCGACAACTCATAGGAGCACTGCATGGCTAGGAAGACGGAGCCAGTAAAATTCATGATCGTAAACGCAATATGATATTTCGGGGGAGCTGAAGTGTTCGAATGGATGAACACTATGATGGCTAGTGGCACAGTGATTACCATGGAGTAAAGGCCGTACACCGCAAATTGTGGTATATTGAAATACCAGAGTTTTGATTTTTCCCGATATATCAGAGCTGACCCAATGATAATTGTGATAGCTGGATTAAGGAATATTTGAATGCAATTCAGAAGCTTACTCCAGCCGTCTCTTTCCTTCTCGTAATCCACTAACGGTATGTAGATGGCGCACATCACCACAACCGGTGCACGTACAATGTAAAACGTACGTTTTAATATATTCCCTTTGATCCAATCATCCATAAAAACGGGCCGAAGTGAACTAAAGAATTGTCGAAAGAGAAAACGATTCTTGTTACGAAACCCTCTATATGCCACTGACTGTTTCATTCTTCTAATAGATGGATGTCTCTCTGAACGTCTGGTCAAATATGTAAAAAATGCTTCATCTGGCTTCTGTATGGTCGACTGACGCGCCAAAATATCCACAACCCCATCCTCAGACAGCTCATCATATTTCTTTTTCAGTAAATCAATCTTTGTTTGAATATTATATAAATCAGGTCTCCTAACACTCGTATCCACATTCAACTTTTCCAGCTCATTAATTTGGTTCAGCAAATCTATGTTATGACATAATTGAATATGAAATTAGAGTACAATACTTGTGTAAATATGTCTTACTTCTTGTAGTACGGCGTAGGATTAGTAGGTCAGTCACACTGACTATCAGATATATAATATACAGCAATATTGAGGCGATACACTCATTCAGATTCATCCCATTATCAGTTCTTATAAAATAATCTACCATCACGACGCCACATACCATAAAGAGCAAGTCCCGGATTGTCGTTGAGCCGCTCATCTTGAATGGACTGATGTAGCAGACCAAACCACCGACAAACATGATCAAGTACAACCCCTTTGCAATGGCATTGGCAAAGTCTGGCTCGTCATCGTCGTGCACGGCCCACATATTGGCAACAATTTCGGGAAGTTCGTTGCCGAATGACATTATGGTAACTCCGGCCAAATGTTCGCTCATATGCATCATCCGGGCCACCAGCTTCAGAGCTGGTCCGTAAAAGTTATGAATAACATAGCTCATACAGCAGAGCAGCTCCAAGCAGAGCACCAGAAACAGGGACACATACACATACTCCTCAAACTGATTCCGGCACTTCAGATCGCATGCCATCAACTGAATATAGGGCACGACATTCGTCCCGTAGACGCAACTGTTGGCCCGCTGCACAAAATTGCATCTCTGGTCGTATGGAAAGATCTTCACAGCGTAGCAACTGACCCTGGCCCAAAACTGTTCGAATTCTTTATCCAACTCATTTGGCACATACTGCTTACTGCCCATGACTTTCAATTTCAATATGTTACAAAAATTATTTATTTGTGAATATTTATCAAAAATACAAAACTACAAAATTACAAAATTATACTTCGAACTGATTTCTACTGTGTAATATGGGAGCCGAGCCGACTGCTTTCCAATATTTTCAATGATATATTGATTTAGAAATTTTCGAAATTGAAAAAAAAAAAAACAAGTAAGAAAACTCTAGTCGAGAGTTCTCGACTAGATACTACCCTGAACCCAACAAATAAAAATGCCCATTTAGTATGGCTGAAATTTCAATTTCGATGTATTTAAAAATATAAATAAAATACCAAACTCATTTAATAAAATATAAAAATATTTTTAAACAATTAAAAAAGTTAACATCAGTTGAATCGATCGGGGTTCGAACCACGACTTCTCGATCGAACGCACATAAAGTATAGTTAAAATTTCGATTTCGATGTATTTAAAAATATAAATTAAATAGAAAACTCATTTATGAAAATATAAAAATATTTTGAAACAATTAAAAAAAATTAAAATCAGTTGCATCGATCGGGATTCGAACCGCGACTTCTCGATCGAGCGTCATGCAGCTAACACACTAGGCCAAAACTGGCAAAACTCAAATACATTCACTGCTGCTGCGCCATCTACCAAAACTAAACGAAACTAACAGCTGATGTGATTCAACGAATGTTTCTAGAAGAAGTTTGAATGTACATATGTGTGCACACGCATACGATGCTGTTGTAGCTGCTGCACGTGCGTTTGTTAATTGGCCAAATATTTGATTATTTTTTATTAATTTTTGACTGAACGGAATTTAATGAAACTTTCAGCATATGATCTACATATTACATTGAATATTTGAGAAATTAAAAAAAAGAAAAATCATTCACAATTAACTATAGTGGCACCTGATTTGAACTTGAATGTTTTTACTCGATAAAAACATAACGGGACGATTTATCGAATTATAAAAGCAAACTTGACGTCCGCGCTGTATATACGGTCATTTAAAAAAAAATTCAAGTCTCTAGCTCTTATATCTTCGGAAATCGACGCGTTCAAACATACGGACAGACGGACAGACAGACAGACGGACAGGGCCAAATCGACTCAGCTCGTCGCCCTGATCAAGAATATATATACTTTGTGGGGTCTGCCACGCCTCCTTCTGCCTGTTACATACATTTCAACAAAACCATTATACCCTGATTTCCCATTTTCAATGGGTTCAGGGTATAAAAAAAAATAATAATAATAATAATGTACAATTTAAATGTTAAATTATATAATTAATATTTCTATTAATTAAGAAACAGACGGAAAATAAAAAAATAAAAAAAGGATGGATTAGTCTAGAGCATTCGATTAGATCTTATTAAAAAAAATTCTTTTTTCACGCGCACAAATTTATTTATTTCTCTTTTCTTTTTCGTCAAGAATCGGATCCATGAATATTGAAGGAAAACTCTATTTGAAATTTGTGAAAAGTCCATTTCATCACAAGTGCAGTGAATAGAAAGTATAGCAAATAAATGGACATGGAGTAAATGCCCATCGAGCGTTGTGCATTGAATTTGAATAGCGATATCAATAGCAGCATGGATAGCAGGCCCAGGATCAAGAGAATGAATGCATTTTCGCAACAGATATTTATCATTTCTGCATCGGCATTTATGCCGTACAGAATAACTGCCGT